GGGGGGGGGGGGGGGGGGGGGATTGGACCGGAGTCTTGTGGACTATTTCACAAGACGCGCGCAAATGCAAACAGAAAGGATCATGCTTTACGGGGAGCAGGACATGGTCGGGATCATTGAATTGAAATCATTGGCCTAGAGTCATTGAAATTTTTGAGCCATTCACTTTTGAGTTCACTGAGTTTTCATATCATCACTTACCGATGGGGCCATGCGGTACTCCGGCTTTATTCGGACTCGAATCCCCACACCTCCACCTGAAAAAAAAGGAGGGAAAGGGAAAAAGACAAGAGGATGAGTTGGTGAAGACGAACACAAAATGACACTGCATTTGAAAGAGAGGGAAAACAACAGAATCTTTTTACATCCATAAATTCATAAAAATAAATCATCATGCTTTGAATCTTGATGAACATATATTAATCATCACTTATTAATTGAATATACTTGGCAGAACTCGCCTGCCTTCCATCCTCGCGAGGATGTTTGGTCTGTGCTGATGATCCTGATAAGGACCGGGATTACCATGACGAGCGAGGGCAGTTGATGATGGCACGTGTCACTGCATTCTTGACGCATAGATAAGATATCCAGACCTTATCCGACAACTATTTCCACTCATTCAGCCAGGTTGCATTCATGATGGGGATCTCACCCTTCGACACACAAAGGACAAAGTCAAACACTTTGACTCTCGCGGTCGAAGTCAAAGACGTCCTGTCGCTTTCCACACAAGGCTGTGGCTAAACTCCATTCACCTTTCTCCTCCGGCTAGCCAAACGACGTTTGTGCAGTATCTGTCTGTACATCAATCCAGATCGATTGGAACAGGAGGGAGAGACGGAGAGAGACGGAGAGAGACGGAGAGAGACGGAGAGAGACGGAGAGAGAGGGGGGTAGAGGGAGAGAGACGGAGAGAAATAGCGCGGAGTTGGGATGACAGAGACGTAAGGGGTGAGAGAGAGGGAGCGGGGGAGAGGAGAGGGAGATAAAGAGGAGGCTAGAGCGGACGTGGGGTGACAGAGAGGTAAGAGGTGAGAGAGACGGAGAGGGAGAGCGGAAGAGGAGAGAGAGGGCGGGAGAGAGAGAGAGAGAGAGAGAGAGAGGCTAGAGCGGACGTGGGATGACAGAGAGGTAAGAGGTGAGAGAGACGGAGAGAGGGAGAGCGGGAGAGGAGAGAGAGGGCGGGAGAGAGAGAGAGAGGTAAGAGGTGAGAGAGACGGAGAGAGGGAAAGCGGGAGAGGAGAGAGGGCGGGAGAGAGAGAGAGAGAGAGAGAGAGAGAGAGAGAGAGAGAGAGAGAGAGAGAGAGAGAGAGAGAGAGTTGGACAACCGAAAAGACTCATATTATGAGGAAAACACGCCTGATGGTTTCGAGCTCCCAGGAAATGAGATAAAGTTTCAATCCCAGCCGTTGATTGTTACTGACGATCACTCACACCCATCCTCCCTTTCTCCCTCTCACCTCCAAAAAATGACTAGCTTGGTTCATTTCTAATTAGTTGGATTCGCTACTTTAGACTAACCAATCACTTTACGGAATCCCGTGAATGAACCGAATGGTGGGCGACAGGAGAATAAGAAGAAGGACAGGAGGGAAGGAAGATAAAGGAGATCGGGATCCCTCTGCTTGATAGGTGGCAGACTCAGATTGCGCGGGAGGAGTTCGCCATGGCAAGCGGGATCTCGACTCATCTCGCCAACGTGTGCAAGCAAACCAGATCCCTCGGGTAGAATTTGACAAGTTGCAAATAAGCAAGAGCTGTGCGCTGAGTGTGTG